ACTCCTCCCCCCCCCCCACCCCCCCGCCCCCGCCGTCACTCTAACCCCCTTCATCATGTTTTCAGCAGCTCACTCCAGTTTGAACTGTGACATTACCTTCAGAAGAACACACCATCTCACCGCACATCTCTTGGTGTCTCTTAGAAAAAAGAAAAAAAAAGGAATGTGACCGTAATGTCCTTCTGATTCAGAATACTGACATGCCATTCTGTGAAATAAAAGCGTTAGTGAAGTGCAATTGAATATATTTTTGTGTGTTGCTATGATAAAAAGGGCCTAAATGAGATTGCAAGCTGGTTCACTGGTAGGTTTTTTCTAAACTGAAGGTGTCGAAGATCTTGCCGTATGCACTTTCCTGCATGTGTGGATGAGACCGTGGATGTGTTTTTGCACTGTAGTTTTTTTTCTTCTTCTTCGTATTTGTTATATATCTTATGTTCAACTCTCATTAAAAGGACTTTGATGCACATTCAGATTTTTTTTTCCTCCTAAATTCTGGAACAGATCATGTCCAGTCTGGCTGCGTTTCTTTACCTTGTGAAAGTAAAAATGCACTTTTAATATTCAATTAGATGTAAATAAATAAATAAACTCACCCTCAGCACCACTGGATTGCTGACGCACAAACGCTACGTTAATTACTGGGATAAGAATCCAATTTTCTGGTTAACGAAACTTAATTAATTGGATACGTTTGATTTAAAATTGTCCGTCTGAGCTTTCAAACTCACTCCAACTCCGCATCTCCTTAAAACAAAGTGCTGTTGTCAGTTCTTAATTCAGGACTTTGTCACAAACACCTTGCCCTACCGTTTAATTTGAAGCTATTTTAAGCGGAAGGCCACTAATTTCAACACAACAATACCGCCATCTAGTGGCTGTATATAAAACTTTGATAAAACTGTGCCCTGTGCTCGGGTAAATTTGTTGGGACAAACATTTTCTTTTTGACAAAACGGGTGTACAGGAGCACACATAAAACAATCAATTGTTAATATGTATTTACCTGTCGCTGTCACTCTAATGGAAAGTATTAAAAATAGTATTCAAAATATGACCGGAAGTTCTCTATGACTCCAACAATAAAATCGAAAAGAAAAGAAAACGAATTAAAAAAAAATACAACTCTTTAAAATTGTAAATATAAAAATAAATAATGATTTGTGGCTGTTACTGCTGTGAAAACGTAATAAGTTAATGACCTTCATAATAATAAAATAATTAATAATGAAATAGGACCACAAATACAGGTGATATTTCTTTTTATTCCTCTCACGATCAAAGCTACGTCACTTATTTTATATTTCCTAGACTTTTACCATTCGTTAACTTCCTACAATGGGATTTTTGTTTTACATTGTTGGTAAAAAACTATTTTTAGACACAAGTTATTTTAAGTTTCTTGTTTATTTTATTTATTTAAAAAAAAACTCTCTACACGTTCTAAAAACAAGGGCAAAAATAATTATACCATTCAGATTGGAGACAAACACAGACGTCATGATGACGTCTTCATCATTCATGGTCATCGTCTTCCTCCCTCCAACTTAACTGCCCCACGAGGGCGCTGTTTCGCTGTGTGCGACGTCACAAAATGCGACGAAACAGCCAGAAGAAAAAAACTTTAAACGGTCGCGGAGTGTGACGTAGCACGCCGAAATGTTTGCCGCGTGCTTTAAAAGCCCTAGGTGAACGGGTTATTCTGAAATGGCGGCTCGACCTGGTCCGGATAAACGGTTGGGACAGGAAGGTAGGTGACTTTTACATTTTTATGCACTACTGTCGGCGTTTTGACTCCGTGTATACTCGGTGCTAAAATAGCTTAGACCCCAGTCAAAGTAGAGGAAAACTTTTATGTATTTACTATTTAGAAACTAATTTTTTTTAAAAAGATTAAACCCACATTAGAATGTTTTTGGAGAATGTCTTCACTCATTTAATCATATTTCACCATTTTCGTGTTTTTAGTGTCTTTTGTGTTAAAGTTTTTACATTGTATTAAACTTGTATTCAACAATGTTTGCCATGAACAGATGCGCACGGAGACCAGGTCGAAGTTTTCTGGTGTAAAAGTTGTAAGAGTACTCTCCTGAAACTAAAGGCAAGGTGAGGAGTCAAACACAGTTTGTTTTTTTTTAAATAAGAAATTAATTATTATTAAGGAGTCAAACACAGTTTGTTTTTGTTTTTTAAATAAGAAATTAATTATTATAAATGTTGTGCTTGCACCAAAACTCCAGTAGTTAATATGCTTTATCTGGGTTTATTTTCCAGATTGGTCGTCCTGAAGATCTTCAACACAGTAGGGATCGTCGGTTTTCTTTTATTCTGAGTGGCCGCCGTGCCCTGCTGTGTGTGAAACATAGTTTGCAGTAAAGTTAGAAAATGGCCGCCTGTCTTTTGTCCCTTTGGTTTTCTTTCTGGTTTTCTGGTTTTTGGAGCAGGAGCGTGGAACAGGTTGTTGGTTAGCTAGTCAGTGAAGTCTTACAGGTGGCTGGCTCTCTGTTCATTGGTGGTTAGGGGAAGGTTTTTGTGACTCTGGTCCCATTTTAATGGTGTGGAACTGCTGAGCGTGTAGGTAAAATGGTGGGTCTGATTTCTGACCGTGGTGGTTCAGTGTTCATAGTTTTAAGCTCAGCAGTTTGTAGTCAATGAGTGTGAATGATGTTCTCTCGCTCAATGTGTGCACTAACAATTATTGCTTTTTAGGTCCTGTCGACAAAGGGTGAGTCCAAAATTTTATTTTATTTCCTCTTCCTGTCCTTTTTTAGGGTTAGGATCAAAGAGCGCTTATTATTGATCAAACATAGGCGTTATTTCTCTGTAATAGAGCTTAATCTAACTTAATCAAAGATGGCTGAACAATGTGGTCTTTAATATTCCTAAGAAATGTACCAAAAAAAAGGCCTAGTTGCTGTGCTATAACTTTTTTTTTCAGCTTCTTCTGGATGACGACAACAAAATGGAGGAAACAATCAATTGCGATTAGTTGCGCGCTTAAAATGTAACACACAAGGTAGGTGACACTACGCCTGTTCTTTCCCAGCCGCCGTGCTGATATTACGCGCTAACATGGCCTCTTGCCGTGACCTTCTTTTCCAGCTGCCGTGCTGCTCTTTATTTCTACCGCTCTGTTTTGCCTCTGTTCTTTTCATAAAAATCTTGCGTCTAAAAATGGCTAGTTGTCGGTCAATGTTAAGTAGACTTAATGACCACTGTTCAGTCTAAAATATGTGTAGTTAGAACATTATACACAAAGTGTATGACAATATTCAGGAGACTAGCAGCAGAATTTCTCCACTGTATTCTTTCAAATCTGTATAGTCTGGAGTGTGTGTGTGTGGGACCAGGGCTGGACTAACATGTAGTTTTTCACCTCTGAAGACAAAGGTTAGCTTAGTTGAACTGTGAGGATTCCTTGTTTTGGCCACTGTGTCAAAAAGGCTGACCTCCAGTAATGGGTTCAGTTTGTTGTAGCGCTTCCTCTTGGCTGACTTGCTTTTCCTGTCTCCTGTCCTTTATTTCCCAGTGTGGCCATTCACTAGTCTCAAACATTTTTACCTTCAGTTTAGATTTCACCGGCAATTTCTATAACGAATATAATTTTGGACGTTGCGTTCGTTTTCAAGACTGCGTTCGTTTTCAAGACTGCGATCGTTATCAAGACTGCGTTCGTTTTCAAGATGGCGTTCGTTTCCTGCGATTTTTGGACGTGGCGTTCGATTTTGAAAGTGTTCAACTTCAAGCGGTCATTTCCTGCAAGTTTTGGATATGGTGGTCGTTTCCTACAGTTTTGGATGTCCTGTTCCTGTTCCACTGCAATTCCTGATGTTTCGGTTGCTGTCATTTCCTGGCTGTCTGTTTGCTGTCCAGAGGAACTACCAGAATTCCAGCGCCATCTATCAACATGGACATCCAGCACCCTAAAAGTCCTATGTATTTCCTTGCCATTGTACCTTTTGTTAATGTATATTCATGTAAATGTGCTTGCCTGTTATTGACAATGTATAGCCATGTAAAGTTGGTCTACTGTTATTGTCAATGTATATTCATGTAAACTTGCTTGCGTGTTATTGTCAATGTATATTTATGTAAACTTGCTTGCCTGTTATTGATGATGCATATCCATGTAAATTTGCTAGCCTGTTATTAATGATGTATAGTCATGTAAATTTGCTTGACTGTAATTGTCAATTTATATTGTCTTGGAGACTGAACTATATATTCAAGTAGGATGTTTTTGTACAAATGCCATTGTTGGACAACCATACTACAACTTCGGTTGTGCTATGTGACAGGTTTGTACACCACATGCTACCACACTCTGTGCTTTAGTCTGTTTGCACTTGTCCACCTTTGGTGTTCCTTGTTTGCATGACCCTCAATGTGATTACCCTTATCTCAATGTCGCATGTTTCACTAGGTTGTCTGAGGTGGTCGAGATCAATAACATATGGGCTAAGTGGGTGTTTTATGTATTGTATTGTAGTTATTTAAATTATTGTTTTATTATAATACTATTTTTTTTTTTTTTTTTTATAATATTTTTTATTTTTTTTAGGCTATAGACCTGCTGCCATCTAGTTTGTCATTGTTGGATTTAAATAACTATTCAGCTCATAGAAGTTGTTTTACAATGTTAAACTTTCCCATTCCACCTGACACTACATGGACTTAAATTGTCTTTAGTGTCATTGAAGTTTTGACTTTTAGAGCTGGCTTGTCTCTTTTTGCCAAGTCTGTTTTCCATCTAAAGACTTGTTTACCCTTCTGTGGTATTTAGACGACGAGTTGGGAGGCCTCCCAGTAGGGGACTTTTTGTCCTCTGCATTCGTTTTACCAGGCGCATGTAGGGCTGAGTTATCAAATTTATAATATTTATATGCCGGTGCAATGTGGTAGGCATACAGGTTAGATTGCGCGTTTAGGGTCTTTAATGGGAACTATACTTGGCAGAGAGACAACCAAAGACTTGGTAAAAAGTTAAAAAAATTTTTTTTTTTTTACACTGAGCTGTATGCACTTCAATCTGAGACAAGTGAAACCGAAATGTTATTTTTATCCCGTCTTGTAGATTTTAACTTAAGTTTTGTGGAAAGTTTTTGTAAGGTAAATCAAGCTGATGTGGTAGTATGATTTATCAAGTTTAGTTGAGAATCAGCAAACTCCTCCCATGGTACCGCTACTACAATGGACCTATGGTCTAAAGAGAGATTTAGTAACTGACACAGTATTCTGTGAACAGGTTGATGGCAAAGGATTATACTGCTCGCATCTCTGATGATTGGCAGAAAACCTGGGAGATGGTATTCACTGGTGTTAGTTTAATTTACTGGTGTTTAATCTGGGTTAATTTTTGTCAAAGTGTTGTTATTGACTAAATGTGGTAAGGTCAATCAATTAAACTGCTAAGACTCCTCAGTACTAGGTTCTTGCAAGATCTGGAAATCTTCCATCCTGGACTGTATGAAGGAAGTGGCCCAGGAGACCCAACCCCTTAGCAGCTAGATGTCAGCCGCAGGATGTCTTCAGGTTTGTTCTTCACATTGATTATTGTTGAATCTGTTCCCTTTAATCTCCAGACTGACCGACTGATCTGATCGGTGTCTCTAGGATTCTATGGACCAGAGTTGACCAAGGATGGAGACGTTGGATCTGGGATCAAGGGACCTGAGGTGAACTGATTGACTTGCTGTAGGTTTTGGCTTATTTTTTTTTATTTTACAAAATGTCACTATTGTGACTAAATGTTGACTTGTAAGGAATCAAGGGAATTTAAACTTGGTGTTTTGTTTCCCTTTTCTGAGAACTCTTTATCCAGTGTTAAAAAAAAAAAGCATTTTGTCTTGTTCTGTCCAGTCTGTCACTAACTCATTTTGCTGTTTATTTTTTAAATTTTTTTTTGATTTTTATTAACCCAGTCTTGGAGCCTTCACTATCACTGTGGACGACGCATCTCAGGGCAGCGGTGTTTCTGGGTTCATTACCATCTGTTCACACAGCAGACCAAAGTCTATTTGGATGGACCCCACAGAGCTGAAGTCAATGATTGTGGGTTTGTTTGTATGTTTGTTTTGTCTCCCAGTTATTATTTGTCTACCTCTGCCCTTGCATAACTTTTTTTTTTTTCCTCTTTTTCCTCTTCCCCTCTTGTCCTCCTTGTTGTTAGCAGATGTTGGACCAGACCTTGCAAAGCGTGACACATACAGGACGACTAATGTGATAAGTGAAGCAAACTCCCCATGAAGAGCACCATTAAGTATGGGTTATTTGGTTTTGTTTGTTAGCGTTGTCCTTCTCTGGTATGTGTTTGATTCATGTTGTTTCCTATTCTGATCTTAGATCCAAAAGGCCTGAGACTACAGAACTTGGAGACGCTACACCCCGGTCAGGCCAAGATAATCCACACCTGCCTCCTCCCTACTGGGTGTCTTTAAGGTGTGTACTAAATTTTAAAGTCCTGGTATGATCACTGTGTTATTGAGTAGAAAACTTACTGGACTCATTTATGTTTAGGTCCTAGCCCCAGAGGACCCAGGATCACCACAGCTGACAGGAGTGTCCATTTTAATGCCTGTTCAGCTGTATATGTTTTGTTTGTTTTTTTTTATTTATTTTTTTTATTATTTATTTTTTTTATTATTCTGATAACATTGACCATTTACAAATCAGCATAACATTTCATTGGTATTCTGAGATGTTGGTCTTTAGTCACTGATGACTTCAACTACACGCTTGATCCCAGATTGACTTCTTAAGTTTACAATCAGTCAGAATTTAATGAGCTGGATTTTCTTCACACTTCTAACTAACACTAACTACCACTAACTACCACTATTACCCTACTACCCTCCTTCCTCTTTGCATGCCAAGAAATCCAGTCATGAATTCTTACTGGGTTGTACCATGGACCTGGGGTACAACATCGTCCTCCGAAACTTTTACCGACCAGTCAATGACAAGTCTTTTAGAACAGAGTGAGTGACGATCTGGTTTATGATCAAGCGTTCGTAGTTGTTTTATATGTGACCTTTTGACCACATCAAGGACTATATGTGAGAAGCTATGCTGATTCTGTTAATGGTTGTTTTAGTGGAGAGTGAAATTCCACAGTAGTTTTTATTTATTTATTTTTTTCACTCCACAAAAACATATCTTATTTATAATTTAATTAACTGTATTCATTGGTGCACACTTACTGTACACATAATAATAAAAAAAGTGGCAACCGTAGGTATAAACCTACACCTGTCATTTTTTTTGTTCATGCAATGTACAGAAATATATATATATTTAGAAATGACAATTTACCTTGAATATTAATCCTGTTTAGCTACCTGATTAATTTGATAAGTGTTTGTTTGATAGCCCTAGTAAATATGTATTTACTTTTTAATTTTGGGTTTTTAGCTGTGTACTGCAAAGAATGATGGGAAAGGATTATAATTTCTTAATTACTAATATTATTTATAGCCAAGTAAACATAATTGGGTTGTATTTATTCGATTGTACTCTTATGGTGTAAACCCACTTTACTTAGATATCTTTCAATGTGATCATGTTGTGTTGATGAGTGTGTATGCATTTGTGATTGTGCTTTCTTTTGTAAAAATAAAATTGACTGTTTTGTCAATTAAATAAAATGTACTTTAATCCACACTTCAAGGTCTTAATACAAACTGCATCAAGACAATACTGTTAGAAAATGAATTTTTTGATTATCGTGCAAGAGGAAGGTGAAAGCCAGAGAGAATGAACACAAAAAAAAATTTCTCAAATTCTCAGTGCTTTTTCTTTTAATGTGTTTGACAATATATTTCCTATATCTTTTTTTTTTCTCTTTATTGCTATTAAAAAACCTTCCTCCTAATTCTATTCCCATTAATTCCATAGGTTCAGGGGTAAAAACGTACACTGGTCAAGGACACAGGCAGTAAGGAATTCAGTTGACTTAAAACCCAATGTAGCTTATTCTTGTGAGTATATATCATGACAAAGTGCCAAAAAACATGACAATCAATCCATCAGGCCCAGTGCAGGGGCCTTAACAAGACAATTAAAAAGGGTATAAAATACTCATGTAACTCAGAGCATACAATATAACGTACATCATTATCACTTGTATGATCACTGGAAGAGAGGCTTGAAAATAGCCAGGTAGAAGACTAGTAAAGTGGAGCTACAGGGGCAGTAATACGAGCTTTGGATACAACATGTTGTACGCTTAGCACATCACATGGTCAAAGTCGGTTAACAGCTAGCGCCGTCGCAGACTTTGGGCTTTAGGTTCAAGTTACAAAGATACAGGGGAAAAAAAGTGGATTTGCTGTTTTAGGAAAGAAATAAAGCAGGGTCAAAGTAAAAAAAAACAAAAAACCATGTAGTCAGAGTCAAAGTAAAAAAAAAACAAAAAACCATGTAGTCAGAGAACTGTTGTTTATCCTCGATGGGCTAACTAGCCCTGATTTATGCCTCACTCTGATAAGTCTCTTTCACTCGTTCATCCAAAATTCATCCATTCTTTCATCCATCCCTCTATCCATTCATCCACCACTCTGCCTCTCTGTCTCACGCCCTCAGTTCATCATGCAGCAGACTTTAGTCAGGGAAGCGCTGACAGGCCTTTTTCCAGCGACAGGCTGTGCACCACTGGTCCTTGCGCTCCACTCCGTACACCTTGCGGCACTTTTTGGCCTCGCCACGACTCTTCCTGCAGATGAAAAGACAAAGATTTAGATAATGAGCGAGGCAAAAAAAAAAAAAAGTCAATCAGTGATGTAGATAAATACTCGGTTGGACCAGTCTAAATTTCTGACATCCTAGCTTTAGTTGAAAACGACGCTGATATACTGGCAGGAATTGAAGAAAGACACTCATAAAGATCTTCTTCAACAGCTCTGATTATCTTTTTTTTTTTTTTAATTTTCATCTGTTGCCAACAAGCATCTTGTAGAATGTGGACAACACACCAGCATGTGTGAGAAATGAAACTGAGCTTTTTAATGCATACTTAGCAGCACCTATAGGAAGAACGATGTAACTACATGCTAAATGCTGTCAAAGACAAAAAAAATCCATTCAATTTTAACAGAAAAGGTGAACTCCACCTTTAAGGAAGCTGGAAGGCTAACAGGCAGGGACTTAAATAAACAGTTCCCTCAATAGGTCGCCTGGTTATTATGATAAATGCAGAGAGGAAAAAAAAACCATTTCACTAAGTATGTAAGATTAAGTGACATCTAATGGTGAGTCCAAGTACGGCAAAAGAAGTTAAAAAACTCGAAATCTTGCTGGTTCTTCTTCTTTTTTTTCTTTTTTTTTAATGAGGGGATTTTTAAATCAGCTATATTCCAGAAGTGGATGACTCAGTGACGAAGAGAATATTTAATTCCCAGAGGCTGTGAATTTTACTCACTCACTACAGCTGGTGAGGCAGACTAATAATGCATAAACGACTACATTAAAATGTAATGATGCAAAGCAGCACAGTATTATCATTAGCCACTAAGTCACAATGATGGATTACTACTGAGCGGCTCAGCTCACTGCTGAGTTGAGTTTTTCCCTGAACTAACACTCGACTGTATTTCAATTTGTTTAAAACAAGAGCCATCAAATCTATTAAGGGTCATGGAGAACTTTTCTGCATTAGAGACCTTAGAGGGTCCTAGGTGGTTTGTATTTGACTGACAGCTGATAGATTCTCACTTGGTAACAATGTATAAAACAATATTGTATCAAAAGGCTTGACTTGTGAATCGGGGTTTTACCACCCCCTGCAGGAAATGTAGGGGAACTACATGTCTTTACAACGCACTTAAAATTCCTTTATATTTTTGATTTCGGTCAAAACAAATTTTAATTAGGAAATAAATCTATTCCGGTGTATATAAAGTATAAATATGTATGACACATACATGTCCTACAGAATGTATTTAAAGGAATGTTAGGGCAACAACTAACATCTATTAAATTTAGCAACTGTGTTTTTCAATATGTAAGTCCATATTTTTATCTTTTAATGACATTTCTGGTCCTCCTACCTGAAGGAGCAGTGGGTGCGGGAAGGTGATGCACTCATGGGCTGCAGCCGGTTCTGCTGCAGCCACTGTTCTCCAACACTGACGGACCGACAGCGAGGTTTCACCATCTGAGCGGAGAGCAGACAAAATGAGGCAATGTTTGATTTTTGGCCAGACAAGGCAACAAAGTAAAAATATTTTCATATATACACATACACACTTATACATATACATATATATTTTTATATATATGTACATATATATACACACACATATACATATATATATGCATATACTGTATGTATGTATATGTATGTATATATGTGTATATATGTATATATATGGGTATGTATGTGTATATATATATAACTGGTTCAGAGCACACTATCATTGGGATAGAGTCATGCCTGTATCAGATACAATTTCTTATATACTGTACATATATTTTATATATACCGGAGGATTAGTATGGCCAGAAACTGAGCTGGTGGGGGTCCAGCCCTGACATCCAGAGCTTCTAGAGGCCACAGGTACCTGGACGGGACTGCAGGCCTGTAGGAAAAAAAAAAAAAAGAACAAGAGACAACACTCGTTATTACAAAGGTAGGCAGTAGAGCACTTTGTGGTAATCTGTAATTTGCCATGTAATTTGCAATGTCCTCTGGGGCTCAAACCCAGGACCTTTGGTGTATAAGGCAGGTGTCATAACCGCTACACTATAGAACCACAGGGCCGGGCTGTTCCAAAAATATTCCAGATTCTACTGGTCACAGTATTTCTTCTTAATCACAACATGATAGAATCATTTTGAGGACAACGGCAGGAGGCTATATTTTTGTATCTTTTAGAACAGCGGTACGGGACTAAAACATGAAGTTTTGTCATGTATTAAATCAAGTTTCCACTTGTTTAGTCATTATGACCGTAACAAGAAATATCTGGCACCAAAAAGTTGCACTGCTAATAAATTTGCCCCTGGGAGTAATCCGACTTTTACACCCCCGGATTAGATGAACGAAGGCTTCACCATCCCTAAATCCAACAGAAAGAGGAAAAAACATAGAAGTTCTAATATCAGACACAGCCAGCAGTTACATGTGATTGATTCAGCGCTGGAGCTTTTCTTGCCTTGGCTGAAACAAATATGAAATATGCCACACATACTTTGTGGTTTTGCTGTGAAACCGTTTCTGTTTCCTTTGCCCTAAATCTTTTCCCTTCGCAGTGGTATTCAGTCTGCACACAGCACATGGCCACATTCTTATTACGAGTTTAACTGTTGAGTGTTGAAATACATTTTTTTTTCTTCTTCCTCTGGCATTTTCATAAAACTGAAATGAATAATATCGGCCTCGACTGGGCATGTGTGCCTCTACTGCCGTGAAGAACGTGTCGGCGTTTTCTCCGCCTTTCACAGGCTGCTTTGAGTCTGCTCTCCTTAGGGGAGCGAGCCGGCTGCCAGCTTAGTCTCTCACTGTCACAAAGCATCCATTTACACGCTCAGTAGTACGGGGTAAACTCAGGTCACCGCTAATATGTGCTGCTTTGTGATGCATAAACAAAGTTGTAGCTCACTGGTCTGCTGGAGAGAAGAAGAAAAAAAAAAAAAACGGCAGGAGGCTAAAGGCTAAAGAGTGGGAAGCTCTGGAACCACATCAGAGGTTTGTACATGGAAATTCTCTCATGGTTTTTTTTTTTTGGTAATTGCAGTCTCTCTTCATCAAAACTGAAAGTATGACAACGTTATGAAATAAAATCTAAGAAGGACATTTAGAATGTCATACCGAGGACAATGTTGTCTCCTCACTTCACTCTCAAATGGCCTAAAACAGGCATGGGCAAACTAAGGCCCGGGGGCCAGATGCGGCCCATTCAGCTTTTTAATCCGGCCCGCCAAACATTTCCAAATTATATAATTTATTTATATCAGTAGAATTATACTTCTGCCTTTTCTCTGCAATACCTACGTTTCCCCAATAGATGGCGTGGAAAATGCTATTTCTTTTTTTTTTTTTTAGCATTTTAGCCTTTACACATGACACATGAACGCTCCATCTATCTGCTCCTGACCTGGCCCGCACCCCTGTTCAATTTTAGGACCAATTGTGGCATCATATCCAAAGAGATTTATAATGAAGTGATAAAGAGTGAGCAATAATTCTTAAAAAAAACAATAAAACAAGCCTGATCTGACTATAGTCTGACTCAACACCGGCTATTCTAAGAGTAAAGAATAAAAAGTTAATTATATAAATTATTTTGGCACTTACAATTCTGTATTTTTTTTACTATGGTACTTAAATAATTCTATCCCTGAACATTAGAAGTTTTTAAATGACTTAAAAAGCATTATTTGAATTACTTTTAATTCAACATCATTCATAGAAGTCAGCAAGAAAGTGAAGTGAAGAAATAAATTAAAAAAAAAAATCCCCGACAAACAAATCCCCACAGTCCGCACCCACCTGGTACAGATGCTCTGAGTGGATCTGCCAGAAGCTGCTTGGAGCTGACTGGCTGAGAGGACTGGGTCTAGTTGGACCTGGCCCTGAGCTGGAGTTGGACCTGGGCCTGTGAGCTGCTGGGATCTGAAGCCCAGAGCCTGGAGGAGAAGTGCAAGAGGCCCAGCTGAGATGAGAGGATGTGGTTTGGCCCAGAGCCTGCTGGGAAGGACCTGGAGTGGAGCTGGCATCCACGCTCTCGCAGGAGATCTTGGTGTAGTAAAAGTCCTCCTCTCTCTGGGACTGATCTAATCCACTGCTGTGTGTGTGTGTGAGAGACAGACAGAGACAGTGTGAGACGGGAAGACTTGTTATGTTTGTCCAAGTGTGTTGAAAGCAGCGCGCACTGTGGTCCGAACGCAAACTTCTCTCAAATGTGTCACAACGTTGGCCTTAATAAGTGCAGGGGCGTCAGTGAGTAAATACTTCATTCCCTCTTGTTTTCAGCGCACTGTTCCAGCTCTGAATGTTTCCACTGTAATAAACTGTTCTGTTTGCACCGCACCCTAGATTACAAAGAACCAGTGTAGCCATGAAGCTGCTGACCGCTAACTGATTGGATTCGGGTTTTGGATTTTGAAACTACAAAGAGTCTACATCATCATTACAATTTGTTTCATTTACTCATTAGTGTTTTGTGTATTTTACTATATGTTTGTGTCAAGACTGATGGGGGAAACTGGGCAAAAGCTATGGTACGATCTAGCTCAGGCGTGGGCAAACTTTTTGAAACGCGAGCCACAATTGGTCCTAAAATTGAACAGGGGTGCGGGGTCAGGAGCAGGTAGATGGAGCGTTCGTGTGAACTAAGATAAATGACATGGAAAAGCTATGCTCAAATGCGTTTATCATTTACGACGCCATCTATTGGGGAAACGTGGGTATTGCAGGGAAAGGCAGAAGTGTAATAATATAATTTGGAAAAGTTTGGCGGACCGCATTAAAAAGCTGAACGAGCCGCATCCGGCCCCTGGGCCTTAGTTTGCCCATGCCTGATCTAGCTTGGACATCTGCATTTTTTATTGCTAACAGTACATGTGCTCCAAAAATGTAACCTTACGTATCAGCTTTTTATTTGATCCGCAATAGTGTGCAAAGTCAATGATTTAACCACTGACACACTGGTGGGTCGCAGGCTATATTTTCAAAGGGTCGCTGACCAAAAAAAAAAAAAAAAAAGTTGAGATAAAAATCAGCAGAGTCTCGCCTTTTCCCACTCCTTAACAGCGGGTGGCGATAATTCCCCCGTAACACGTGCAGTTTCACATGGTGGTAGCACAGACATGCCGGCATACTCAAAGCAATATAACAGGCTCACCCGAGATGCAGCACACGGATGTGTCGTTTTATTCCCACCGAAGATGTTAGCACCTTGCCACAACTGGGCCAGAGACACTTGTACACACCTCGGAAAGAGCTCTGAGAAAAGGGGAAAGGCAACAAGAGAGGAGAGATGAGTGTAGAGAAGATGATGTTTCCCTTTCACTTCTACTAAACATAAAAATATTTTTTTATGCTTTTTTTCTTTCTTTCAATATACCTTTGGCTTTTTGGAATTGAGCTCCTCTCCTTGCTCCATCTCCATGTAAAGGCCTTCATCGGGACTGCTGTCCATCTCAGTGACAGACGGCGAAGGGGTGGGGCTTGTGTTGCCATGGTCCCAGCTCCAGTAGCCGCTGCTGCCGCTGTCAGAGAGCTCGCCCCCGCCGCACTCCATGTCAGCTGATGATGACGAGCCCGCTGTGAAACGGGAAGATTCACCAGAACTTTTTAACAAATGCCCCTTATCTTCCAGTGCTTCACCACATGCCCCTAAAACACGACACTGCAAACTGCCTCGGAAATTGTAAAAAAAAAAAAAAACCCCATTATGCTATTGTTAGTTAGCATTCTAAAATGTTCAACTCAATTCTAAAATCCTATAATAACTGATAAGGATGAACTAGAAACAGCACAGTCACAGCTGTGAAATACCAGTGATTTCCCAGTGTACGATCGAGTCCAAATAACAAACAGTCCCTTGTTCATGATCAGAATCAAAACTGGTGCCAAGTGGTGCAAAACAAATTGTCTTGTGCACGATAAAACTGTAAAAAGCTTTAATCTAGTTGGGGTTTTTTTTTCTCTTTAATTATAACCTCAAAATACCTTGGTATTTTTAAAAAGTCGATAAATCATTTACTCTTATCCTAGGAGTATACGTACTGTATGCTTAAGGATGTTTGATAAAAAAAAAAAAGAGAGAGACTGACCAGGTCCAGGATCTGTCTGTTGGGGACTCTGAACCACAGGATTACATGACAAGCTGGTCAGAACCATGGCGGCCATGATTTCGTCCATCTCCACTGACTCTGGGCTGCGGACACTGGACAAAAAAACGTGGAAGTAAAAAAATGTTAATTTTGTGTCATGTGTGCCCTTGTTCCTACACCAGTCGTACCAGTCGAACAAAGTACTTAGTAGTATCGATGTAAATAGTAGTTCTAGCTACCTCTGCAGTGCTTCTCCGTTTGCAAACACATTTTTCAGGTGCACTGTGTGTCCGACAGCATGGAGCTGGTGGGCCAGGTTGCTCCAACCTTGTCCGTTTTCCTTCTGCATTTGAGCTAGTGTCTTGATTGGTTGATGTCCATTCTCCATCACACAGCTCTCTGTTGCCACCTTCAATGAGAAGTAGGGACACATTCACGTCATCTTGGTTTCCAAATCGTTTGATTTCACACGTCTTGCTGGACAAATTCATCAGTAGAAGTCGTCAGTTACAGTGATCTTGAATGGTTTTCGGTTATTATTTACGGATAAAATGTTTAAAAACCGCCTCTTACTAGAGTCTGCTGAGTGTCAGGCCCACTGCTGCTGTGCACCACTGTAGAGACGCAGGCCCGTATTCCTGATGGCTCTGCTCCAGCTTCGCATTTGCGTCCAATAGCTGCCATGGTGCTGCTGCATGCAGACAGGGAACATAACACAGAGCGTTACACCACCTTGCTACAAACACACAACAGATACACTATAAAACTTAAAACCAATATCACTTGCCTGACGTTACTTTACAGTGTTTACTCTGGAGTCATATTCTAATGAACTAAAGTGTAAATCATCACGCTGTTTAAAAATTAAAGCTGAGAGCTCAAAGACATGACGACCGAAAATAACCTCTATTAAAAGCATGAGGGTTGTTCCCAGACTTGACCTTACACAGCTGTTTTCACAAGCCAACATTTAGTACTCTGACCTTCATGTTTGAAACTGATAGTGACCTAGCGCTTAAAAAAGACGTTATAACACTTTTACGATTTCTATGTTTTCTTAAAGTTCGGAATGTAACAGACGGGTTTAGAATTTGAAACATGTGGTTTGAATATGGCATCGGATTTTTCCCAAAAAAACAGAAAAGAAAATGGAGTGGGTGTAAATAAACACCCATCGCTCGGTTAAAGGAAAGCGACAACAGCACAGCACAGTGAAAATTGGAGCAGGAATTCAAAAGCACACACACACACACTTGACATTTTTCTTAAGGACTCATTTCAATGACCCAAAAAACTAAAATTTAAACTAGCTATGTTTCAGGACAGGGCGTGTCCCCGTCCTGAAACATTACCAGTTAATGCTTGATCCCGCTGCTAACATACCTGAATATTACCACTTTAGTGTAACTAGAGCCTTGGGGATGAGTATTGCTAAAATGGGACCAAGTTTGGTCACCTAAACTTTTATGGACAGCTGACAAAAACTCTCTCTCTGTCACACAGACACACTGAATTTGGACCCATTTGTGCTTCTTGCCCACTCTGTTGACACTGATAACGTGTTCTGCAGTCTTAATCTGACGTCCTTTCACCATGGCCTGACGTCCTTAAAAATAAAACGGGGACACTGCTGCATTCAGAAGACATGGAATTAACTCTACTGAAATGGCTGAGTGGCCTCGAGCAACCATTTTTTCACCTCGTTTTCCATTCCCATCATTTAATTCTCGTATACTAATAAAGTGTAACGGACTGTAAAGATAAACATTACACTTCTTCAGTTTCGAAGGTCTGAAGAGACTTTGTTTATTAGTTATATCTATATTTTTAGTTTTTGAACAACGTGTGACTACGCGTTCTACGACGAAACTTATGAGGAACAAAAAAACGAAACTGAATTCCATAAAACTTTGAAACAAAACGAACCAAAACATGTAAGTTTGTGTAACACAAGTGAAACACAATAACCAATATGTAACGTGACATTAAAGTTTACTACTGCAAAGATAGTTTAAAATTGTTCATTTATCAAAATGCCGCTGAACTGCAGCGCTTTTTAAACGAAGATCTGTAAAGTCCAATACTTTACTGCACACGTAAACGCACCAGAGTCTGACTTCCCCCATTTCTCGACTAATCAGCGGCGAGCTTTAATAGTAAACAAGAAGCTCGGGGTGGGCGGGGGACCTTCCCTGATTGGCCAGGCTCTTCCGGTGATGTACACACCTCCCCGCTGGTCAACGTGTTTGGGCACGAGTTTCGCTGGGAGGGACTGAGCCGGCCAAGAAGGATAATGTCGAAAATATCTGTATTTTTAAACTCGTTAAGGCGTCAAGTCACACAAACAAAGGCCGGTGCAAGGGGCAATTGTAGTGACGCTACTTAAGTCTGCACAACAGTGGAAACAATTGTTAAAAAAATCATATCACTGTTTTTCATGTCTTTAACCGCTACCATAACAGATACTTGCACCCGGGATAAAATGCATACATAAAACATAACGTCGATTTGAATTGAACACAATTAAACAAGCCAGTTCCAATGCAAGTTGCACAAGATCGAGCAGCACAGAAAACGCAGCTCAAAGATCCCCTCCCCTCTGCTTCCCTCCTCCCTCCGCTACTAAAGGAAAACAATTTTTTTTCCTCTGCGTTTGCTGCAAATTGTTTATAACAACACTATTAAAATGACCATCGTTCGACTTTCATATACTTACTCGATCAGGGGAGACCTTGGCCTCGTCCTCAAAGCCGCAGCAACGGGATTAAATTCATAAAACCGCCTGCTTGTACCGCCGCTCACCGGCTCCTCGGTCTCAGTCTGTGCCGGGAGAAAAAGGGGGTTGGTCGGTCGGTCGGATGCGCGCCTACGTGTGTCTGCACGGTGGACCAATGCCGGGGATGACAGCTGGGCAGAGATATCAGCAGCAGGCTGTAGCGCCGCCGCTGTGCAGAGAAGTATGATGTAGGTGAGAGGTTAGCAGAGCAGCAGCAGCAGCGACTGCGTCCATATGTGTTTGTAACTGTTCCCCACACACACACACACACGCACAC